CCAATTAAAAATAAAATCTGATTAATTTGTCTAGTTTGTCCGAGTTTGAAACCAAACACCAGTTATAGTAATTATTTTGTGTTTTACGCTTATAAAAAGCACATAATATAAAAAAATTATAATTATTGTTATTAGTAATACATAAACTGGGAACTTTTACAAACCTAGTTTGTAAAACGTTTGTTGATATATATCTTAATGAAAATGCACACCAAATTGCTTAGATTGATGAGGAAACCCGACTTAGCCATACCGGATTAACTTGCTTTGTGTGCACAGGGAAATTCCAGCATAACTTAATTAATCACCAAACCTACTTGATCAAATTAAGAGTTAATGATTAAAAATTAATTTTTTAATCGCGGTTACGGTTAACTGTTTAGTCGGATTAAAATTAATCATGATTAACTGTAATCAGATTGAATTTAATCGAATTAACTAACTAATTAAAACATCAATCGATTAATGCCAACATTGATTTCACATACATATCACTATACCAAGTTTCAGTTCTCTCCCACAAATACTTCCAGAGATATGTATGTAATATGAAAATTCCAATTTGTATGGGAGGGGCCTTGAGTTATCGGACTTACTTTCAGTCTAAGACCATCCTTCCGAAATCCGTAGTAAGTGTACTAAATTCCGTTCTGATCGGAAAACCGGTTAAGGAAGTAGCCTATTTTTCAATCCAGGTCATAAACCATCTTTGAGCAAAATTTCATTTTCAAACAGGTGGCAATTCTTAAAAAAGTAGCCTATTTTCCAGTCTAGGTCATAAGCTACCTGTGTGCATACTTTCATGCAAATCAGTTCAGTCATTTCCACGTATTAATTTAATTAAAGTTTCCTAATACGTGATAACTCTTAAAATAGTAGCCTATTTTCCAACATAGGTCATAAGCTATCTCTGTGCGAAATGTCATGCAAATCTGTTCAGTCGTTTCCGCGTATTAATTTAATTAAAACTTTTTTAACAGGTGGCAACTCTTCCAAAAAATTAGCCTATTTTCCACTGTAGGTCATAAGCTATCTGCTTGCAAAATTTCATGCAAATCCGTTCAGGCTTTTCCGCGTATTGATTTAATTAAACTTTTTAGCAGGTGGTAACTCTTAAAAAAGTAGCCTATTTTTCAACCTAGCTCATAAGCTATCTGTGTGAAAACTTCCATGCAAATCAGTTCACTCATTTCCGCGTATTAATTAAATTAAACATTTCTAACAGTTGGCAACTCTTAAAAAAGGTAGCCTACTTTCTAACCTAGGTCATAAGCTATCTGTGTGCAAAATTTCATGCAAATCCGTTCAGTCGTTTCCGCGTATTAATTTAATTAAAACTTTTTTAACAGGTGGCAACTCTTCCAAAAAATTAGCCTATTTTCCACTGTAGGTCATAAGCTATCTGCTTGCAAAATTTCATGCAAATCCGTTCAGGCTTTTCCGCGTATTGATTTAATTAAACTTTTTAGCAGGTGGTAACTCTTAAAAAAGTAGCCTATTTTTCAACCTAGCTCATAAGCTATCTGTGTAAAAACTTCCATGCAAATCAGTTCACTCATTTCCGCGTATTAATTAAATTAAACATTTCTAACAGTTGGCAACTCTTAAGAAAGGTAGCCTACTTTCTAACCTAGGTCATAAGCTATCTGTGTGCAAAATTTCATGCAAATCCGTTTAGTCGTTTCCGCGTATTAATTTAACAAAACTTTTTTAACAGGTGGCAACTCTTCCAAAAAATTCGCCTATTTTCTCTCTCTGCTTGCAAATTTTCATGCAAATCCATTCAGTCGTTCCCGCATATTAAATAAATTAAACTTTTTTAACAGGTGGCAACTCTTAACAAATCTGGCCCATAAGCTATCTGCGTACCAAATTTCATGCAAATCCGTTCAGTCGTTTCCGCGTGAAGATTTCCCAAACATCCAAACATACAAACTTTCACATTTATAATATTAGTAAGATTAGTAAGATTACAAAATACTAAAAATTTCAGCTTACTTTTATATGGAAAAATCTGATTTATTTCCTCGGTCACGGGTGGGACAAAAAAAAAAGAACCTGTTTTTGGAGCAGATATCGTTTACGTAAACTGCGAATTTATTTCACTTTTCTGTGTGAACTTGATGTCTTATAATAAAACAAAGAGCCAGGAACTCAAACCAAGCAAAAACTCAAAAAAAAATTATGGTTTATTATACAAAAAATCAGAAATTCCTGTCACGGGTGGGACAACATTTGTCACGGGTAGGCCATAGGTATATGAAAAGGAGCTTTTAGCGTGGTCCATATATAAAGATTAGTTATTAAAAAATATAAGAAGCCAAGTAGGGGTTAAATTCACTCACGTTTGATCTTAGGATTGTGCCTTTTATTTAGAAGAAAATGCTTAGCACCGTCAGCCAAAAAAAAAAAATTATTAAAAATGAACGGGATTTCCTAGCGTCTTGAAATCGTCACTTTTACCTACTTAAATTTGGACTACAAAACTGCATACCTAAAAATTTTGAACAAAACGTTTAAAATTTTTGGGTGTAATTGTTAAAGTTTATTGATTTTTTATAATGTTTGTAAGAAGTTTGAAATGTAGATTTATGTGGTTCTGGTTAAATAATGTGCTAGACTTTTATAGAAAAAAAGCTATAAACATTAGATTGACAAAATAAAAAACCAAAACTGGTCAAAATGTAACTTAACTTAATCAGCTGACCACAAGGATATACAGATAATGGACGAGTCCGCGCATCCCTCCCTCCTCTCCTGCGTCCACCTCAGCAAACAAATAAAGCTTATCAGCTCTATAAACCTACCTCTGACAACTGTCCCACACATGCTTCTCTGTTGAATAATTCTTATCTAACTGCGTGGAAACGACAATGCAATTGTGGAAAATATTTTCAAATAAAAAATTTGCAACTTTTAGCTTCTTTTGTCACGGGTGGGACAAGACCAACACTGCTTAATAATAACTCATAATATAGATAAAGCAGTCACACAATTTAATATATGTATAACAATTTTGTTAAAAGCAGATGAGTTCCACTATATATTTTTCTTACCAAACACTTGTATTATGAATCGCAAATTATTTGACAGTGCATTCAACACAACCTAAAGGGTGAACACACCAAAACTGCGACACTTTGGGAAGCTTATAACTTACCCAAAAAGATTTCAATATTTTGAAGTTCAAATACCATAAGCTGACCATGACCTTAGTTGGACGTAGACGAAGCTTCATTTGAATTTGATTCCTAGTTGAGTTAAAAATGGCAACCGAGTTAGAAACGAGACAAACCATTTTACACGAGTTTATAAATGATCCGGCACGTACAATTGCTAAAAATTAAAGATTGCATTATTCGACAGTTTGCAGGGTTTTAATCGGTACACATAAGGCATGGCAGTTACGAGAAAACCAGGGAGCGGGGGTTAGCATGGTCGAAGTGATAAAAACAGTGCTCGGAAGGGCCTCAGTGCGTTTTCGCGAGATCCGAAGGTTTTGTCGGGTTATTTTACAAAATCCGTACGGAGATCGCAGTTTTTCGTACAAAAGGTAAAGCGGAAAGCTTCATTGAGATGTTCTACAGCTCAAACAGCGCCAGACCGAGCCGCAAAGTAGAATGTTACAGCGAAATCCCGCAGTCGGAAGTTGTATGGATTCTAAATTAAAAAATACAACTGCATTGTTATGGACTACGAAAAAACCTACTGCTTTAAAAATTCAAAATATATTGCAGGCCAAGATTTTTATACTGCTGCAAGTCGTCAAAATGCCCCTGAAAGTTGTAAGCTGAAAATGAAGTCCTAATTTCCAAAAAACAACATGGTTTGGCAAGCTATTTGTTCCTATGGCCGTAAGAGCATCCGATCGGGGACAATGAATGATCGAGTTTATCGGGATGAGTGCCTCAAAAAGCGTCTTCTGTCAGTTATCAACATATAAGGTAGTAGGCGGACATGGCAAGCTGCCACTATGCCAAGGACACATTGCCGTGGTATATTGCAAATAACATCAATTTTGTACCTCTCGACTGAAATCCACCCAATAGCCCAGAGCTACGTCCTATTGGGGAATATTGGTCAATTGTCAAAGGAATCTGGAAGAAAACAGGGGAAACAGTAAAAAATATTGAAGAGTGCAAAACAAAGTAGTTGTGCGCATCGCGTAAAGTCGATGATGCAGTCGTGGAGAACATGATGGCGCGTGTGCGATGAAAATACCGATCAGTTGCATATGGAGCAAATAATAACTAATATTTTAACATTTTAATAACATATAAACTTCCAAGTTATATAATACAAAAAAAAAAAAATTTCAAAGCCTTCTAGTTTGTTTCTGGTAGTAATCTCTAAGTGTCGCAGTTTTGGTGTGTTCACCCTTTACTTTAAACTCAATCAAAAAATTTACCTACAACTTTATTTCAAAAAAAGTTAATAAAAATGCATTTAAAGCTTTAATTTGTTATTTTTTGGTTGATTTTAGATTTTTACAAATGCCTTATCCACACGTTTGTTAGTTTTATAAAGAAAATAATTTTTGCACTGATGTCCGCTTTCCCATGGAACCTCCCATATACAAAAAAAAAATAATTTCAAAGCCTTCTAGTTTGTTTCTGGTAGTAATCTCTAAGTGTCGCAGTTTTGGTGTGTTCACCCTTTACTTTAAACTCAATCAAAAAATTTACCTACAACTTTATTTCAAAAAAAGTTAATAAAAATGCATTTAAAGCTTTAATTTGTTATTTTTTGGTTGATTTTAGATTTTTACAAATGCCTTATCCACACGTTTGTTAGTTTTATAAAGAAAATAATTTTTGCACTGATGTCCGCTTTCCCATGGAACCTCCCATATACAAAAAAAAATTATCAAAAATGCTTTTTCTTCTTATTTATACAAACCACTGCCCGTCACCTTAGGCTATAATGTTTTTTGAACCTAAATAAAGTTTGGCATGTACTAATGTTTTTTTTTGTTTTTTTTTGTTATATTTATGTTTTAGAAACGGTTCAAACGGCTTAGACGCCTTCAAGAAGAAAGTGACGGCGAAGAAGATCATGTTGACGAGGGCTTGGCCAGAGAAGCTATTGCGGAACAACTTTTCGATGAAGACGACGAGGTAAGTACACGAATCGGTCAAAATGATTGCAGTAGTCCCGGTAATTTTTTGTCAGTTTAGTACGAAATAGTTAACTGTTTTGCAGGTTATTTTCTAACGTTAAATCTGATAATTAATGTTTCCTTCCAGAGTTAAAAGATTAGTTAATGAAATATTTAAGTATGGCCTTAGTGGCGGCCCTTTGTTGTGGCATCACTCATTTTATATCACGCGCTGCCTCAACAGTCACAATGCGCTATGGTCCAAATGCCTGTTTTTTAGCCAAAACTAATTACGGCTAAATACGGAGATGATATAAAAATATTTATATGTTTTTTTTTATTGGTATATAATTTTCCATTCGTCTTGAATAAAAAAACAAGTTTAACCCTTGGCAACCGATACAAAGTGCGTAATTTCGGCGAGTTAGGGAAGGAAAATCGAAAAATTGAAGTTGGTAAAAAGAAGCTCGGATAGGTTATATGTGGATGTCTGATATGTATAAGAGAAAGTCAGCCCCTATTGTCTTATTTGGGCCACCCTGTACAAACATGTCTGTTTTGACGAACGATGATCGCCAGTTTTTCGCATATTTATCAATCAGTGGTCGTATTCGTCTCATTTCCTAACGAGATTTCAGTCTTGGGTATACTTTACATTTAACACATTATAAACTTAATTAAAAACATTATTTTAAAATTTTAAACATCATTCTTACATGTCAGTTGCGGTCATTTAGATTCAAATCATAAGCATATAAATTGTGTATCAGGGTGTATCAATCGGATCTCTTCAGAAATTATGAATTGATTATGTGTATATCAAGGGCCAAGAATTCAAAAGGTCGATTCAAAGTCAAATTATGTTAAAAAATCGCCTTTTCATGCATTTTTGGTGACAACAATTTTGCCGTTAAAAGAGAGCTTTTCCAAATATACGTGGTTGGAGCCAAGGACGCGGGTGTCATCAAATACGTGAAGACTTGGATGAGGATTAAAAACCGCAGATTACTGATCTCGTAATTAGGCGAGTAAAACAACGGCGCCAAGCCTAATGCAAGAGGCTTAAAGGAAGGCGGAGTGAGGCTTATAGGATGCCAGGCAGTTTAACTGCACGTCCTGTTATGGGCGCTCGCATATGAAACATCATAAGAGATAAATCGGTTGTGTAGACCAGGCTTTCCTGGGGTGCCGCGAGCGTATGTCTGGGGTGCCTCTAGTGGCTAGAGTATACTAGTGGTGCGGGCAAATTCTTTAAGCTTTGCATACACAACGAAAGCGGTTTGATCAAACTTCAACTTGGCGGCCAGAAAATTAAAACAACTTTGATTATTATTAAAATTACCTTCAGCGGCTCGTCAAACCCCATAAACAACACAAATGGCTTGCAGCCATTTCGCTTGGTTTGACAAGCCGTTTGTGAGGTGTATTTCGCTCTTAAGCGAAGCGAACGAAAAATTGAATCAGAAAACTTTTAGAAATTGCTGAAAACGTACCCCTTTCACAACCATTTTCGGTACTTTTGTAAGCCTAATCCGCGTTTCATCCAATTTTCTTCCCGTTTTCGGATTAATTTTCGGATTTTTTTCTGGCAGGGCTGTTCTCGTAACAAGCGCAGCAGCTTCGCGCACGTGTATATGCTACTTATTTTTTGGAACTTCACAATCGCACTGTGAAAGAGCGAATCAACACGATTTTAGAGGCAGTCGAAAACGAACTTATAAAAATTTTGAAAACTTGTGAATTTTTTAGTTTGCAACTTGACGAAAGCACCGACGTAGTGGGACTTGAATGTTCTTCTCGTGTTAGTGAGGTGCCCATTCGCAATAAAAATCGAAGAATAGCGACGAAGTTTTTAAAGCTATCGACAAATTTGTACAGAAATATTGGTTTGAAATGGAGCAAGTGTGCAGATATTTGCAGTGGTTGGAAAAACGAAAGGAACGATGTCTAGGATGAAGCAAGAGGCAGAAAACACCACGAGCAGTCACTGTATGTCGGTATTCCCTGGCGACTAGGAAGATGCCGCCACTAGATTTAAAACCCGTATTGCATGACGCTGCGAAGATAACAGCGGCCTTCGAAATTAAAATACATCTTTGGTTTTTTCTAGCACGTAGAGATTTTTATTTTTATTTCGATTTCCCGAGATTGTTCGAGAAGCAATTTCTCGCGGGGGTCGCTTTCTCACGAGATTCTCATGTATCGAAAAACTCGTTATACTCGCGAGCTTCTCTATGGTGTAATTAAGGCAGCGTATTTAATTTAGGGTATTTAACCGCTTAACTGTTGAATTTCTTTCAAGCGCAATACTCGTCGCTCTCCAGAATATCACCATGTGCATGCTCCTTTCCAGTGAGGTCTGTATTGTCCAACCATATGGAGGAGCTTTACAAATTCCAGATTCCACTGTCCATTTCTTACTTTTACTCACTTTCTTTGCTGTAGCCATCAAACGCTAATAATACACATACATACACACATATACATCGAATTAAATTCTTCTTATACGCACAAACGTTTTTGTTTTTGACAATAGAATATTTAACATTTACACATATGTACATTTTTTTCTAGTTTTGTTTTTAATACGTTCGATAAGCTCTTACATACGTGCGTCTCGATAACTAATCGAAATTGCTCGTAAGAAAGGCGATACCCGAGATAGTGTCGAGAACTTCATTACTTGATTTCCCGGGTATCGGAATGCTCGAGAATGTGCGAGCAGAAATCGACAGCCCTAATTTCTAACGCTAAAAAAATTGATGACAGCCGGTTTCACCGGCACATAAAATGGAGAATGATTTTTCCTTTCGTAAAATTAGCCATAAAAGTTATTTTCTTAGCGTTAACGCGCATTACCAGCGTTAACTTGGCAGGTTTGAAAAAACCATTGTCGAATATTTTCCCCAACATTGACTCTGAGGATGTCTACAACAGGATAACAAACCCGTTTTCATGTGACCCCAAAATTAAACCTACTGAGATGACAAATTAAGATTTTGAAAACCTTCTGGACATCAGTGAAGACAGCTTTGAATATTAAATACTACGAAGGGAACCAAGAGAGTTCTGGATGCAAGTGTATGTAGAAAACACTGCTGTTGGCAAGATTGCATTAAAATACTAGTGACTTTTACTTTTATTACTTTTCTATGTGTCAAGATGTAATCCGGGTAGTAGGATAACAAGTAAAATAGATAGTTTATTAATAAATTATATGATACAGAGTTAAGTATTCAATTCGATTGTCCAGTTATTGAAACGTTCCGCATGGCTGTTCGTACTTGACTGACTGCTCGCTCGCTCTCCCCATTCTCACTTTACCGCTAGGCCTCTCCTGACTATCACTAACCGACCTCGGTTAGGCATCCGAAGAACTGTCGTCGTTGTCGTCTACCTCGAGTTGTGGGTTAAGCTGACACCACCGTTTCATGTGTNAGTTATTGAAACGTTCCGCATGGCTGTTCGTACTTGACTGACTGCTCGCTCGCTCTCCCCATTCTCACTTTACCGCTAGGCCTCTCCTGACTATCACTAACCGACCTCGGTTAGGCATCCGAAGAACTGTCGTCGTTGTCGTCTACCTCGAGTTGTGGGTTAAGCTGACACCACCGTTTCATGTGTTCACTGGATAGTACACTACAGTACCGTCGCTGGGTCACCGGTGCATCCGGTAGTCCTCGACAATATACCGGTCATGGTCCAATATCTTGGTGACCACATATGGACCTTTGTATTTGGCGTCTAGTTTGTGGGTCTCTCCCGTGGCTGTCGACACATTGCTGAACATCACTAGCTCACCTTCATTGTACCGTGTCGGTTGTTGATGGCGTTCATTAAATCGTTGTTGCCATTTCGATTGTGCTGCTTCGATATTCTCTTTTGCTCGAGTAAGTAACTCATCTCGTTTGTTCACATCCTGCGGATCCGGTTCGTCGTGAAGTGCCTGGATCAAACGGTTTTGACTGTAGTCTCGTAAGTTGTAGTTGAAAATGATTTCGTTCGGACTCGTCTTTGTAGTCGCATTTGGCTGAGAGTTGAAACTCCACTGTAGCGTGAGCAAATCAAGTCCCACTCTTTCGTAGACTTCATCGTCGTTCGTATAGCTGGTAAAATAGTCTTATTGACCCTTTCTGCTTGACCGTTGCCTCGCGGTGTCTTTACGGCTATTTTTATGTGTTGTACGTCGTGAGCTTGTAAAAATGTTTCGAAGTCTTTGGAGGTGATGCTGTTCCGCGATCGGTTGTGAGTTGAACCGGTTGACCAAACGTGGTCATCACCTCTCGTAGCATGCTAATTACTGGTGCTGATTTGGTGTTTCGTACAGCTTTCAAAATTACGTATTTGGAAAAGTGCAGGCCAAAACAATGATGTGCTGATTCCCTTTCTTACTTTTGGGGAACGGTCCCAAATGGTCGATGTGCAGTGATCGGAACGGTATTGTAGATGCAGCACTCTGGGCACGCCGCTATATAACTCTTAACGTACCGCCTCATTCGATGAAACCAATATCTCTCTGAATCCGCTGCAGAGTCTTCTCAATTCCGAAATGCCCTGAGTCATCATGGCATGCTTTCGTGATCCGCCATCTTATCGCTTGAGGAATTACCAAACGCCGCTCGCCATTAATCTTGCGATATAACCTTCCTCTCTGTAGCTCGTAATCTTGTTGATTTTGCTTTGCGGATGTGGATGTTGACTTTAACGTTGTTGCGATTTCTTGCAATTTCTGATCTTGCATTTGCATCAAGAATACCCAATCGCTGCTACCTTCAGTGGTGACAGCTAAAATGCTTTCGGCTACCGTTTGACACTTACTTGGCGGTAAGCTAGGTGCTCGGCTCATCCCGTCGACATGCTGCATTTTATGGCCTTGCCGATGAACAGTCTTAAAGTCGTACTCCTGCAGTCTTAACCACCATCTAGCAGTACGCGGGAGGTTTGTTGCTTTTGTGGTAACGATAGCGTTACAGTCGGTTACCACAGTGAACGGCTTGCCGAGAAGATACATGCGAAATC